AGGCTTTGGTTTGTGTTAGCTTTAGGTTTAGGGTTTTTATTAGGGTTAGGGTTAGGGTTTGGGTGAGTACTTGGGTTAGGTTATGGTGTTGGTTTAGGGTTAGGGTTACAGTTAGGGTAAGGCTTAAAGTCAGCTTAGCATTATTGTTAGTGTTATGTTTAGGGTTAGGGCTAGGGTTAGCCTTAAGTTTAGTGGTACAGTTAGGGTTAGGTTTAGCGTTAGGTTTAGGGTTAGGATTAGGGTTTAAGTCTAGGCTTTAGGGTTAGGATTAGTGTTAGGGTTTAGCATTAGCATTAGGGTTAGGGATAGGGTTAGGATTAGCATTAGGGTTAGGGTTTGTGTTAGGGTTATGTTTAGGGTTAGGTTTAGGGTTAGGTTTGGATTAGTGTTTGTCTTAGGATTAGGGTTAGAGTTATGCTTCGGGTTAGTCTTAGGGTTAGCATTAGGGCTAGTGTTAGAGTTAGCATTAGGGCTAGGTTTAGGGTTTGCTTTATGGTTAGGGTTAGGGTTAGCATTATGTTTAGGGTTAGGGGTAGCATTATGGTTAGTGTTCGTGTTAGCGTTAGGTTTAGGGTTATATTTAAGGTTAGTGTTAGGGTTATGGTTAGGTTTAGTTTTATGGTTAGTGTTCTGGTTAGTGTTAATGTTAGGGTTAGGGTTAGGGTTAGGCCTTGGTTTAGTGTTAGGGTTAAGATTAGGTTTAGCGTTAGCGTTAGAGTTAGCATTAGGATTAGCGTTAACTTTAGGGTTAGGGTTATGGTTAGGGTTAGGCTTAGCATTAGGGTTAGCTTTGGGGTTTGGGTTATGTTTAGGGTTAGGTTACAGTTACAGCTAGCGGTAGGTTTAGCGTTAGGGTTAGGGTTAGGTTTAGGGTTCTGGTTAGCTTTAGGGTTAGGGTTAGGGATAGTGTTAGGGTTAAAGTTAATGTTAGTGTTAGGTTTACGTTTAGGGTTAGGCTTAGTGTTAAATTTAGGGTTAGGGCTAGCATTAGGTTTAGGGGTAGTGTTATGGTTAGGGTTAGGTTTTCGGTTATGTTTAGGTTTAGTGTTAACGTTAGGGTTAGTGTGAGGGTTAGGGTTATGGTTAGGTTTAGGTTTAGGATTAGGGTTAGGGTTAGGGTTTGTGTTAAGGTCATTGTTAGGTGTAGTGTTAGAGTTAGCATTAGGTTTATGGTTAGGGATAGGTTTAGGGATAGTGTTAGTGTTCGGGATTGGGTTAGGTTTATTGTCAGGGTTAGGACTAGTTTTAGGGTTAGAGTTAGGGTTAGGGATAGGGTTAGGGTTAGGCTTAGCGTTCGGGTCAGGTTCAGGGTTTACTTTTGGGTTAGGGTTAGCTTTAGGGTTAGGGTTAGGTTTAGGTTTATGCCCACAGAAGATTCATAAACCCCTATGTACTTATGTCAGATTACCACAAATTTCCAAGCATATACCTATCATACATACATAGAATCCCTGAGTGGGCTTAAGTTGGGTAGTGGTGCTTCAGTTTTTGTGAGATTTTATGAGCTGTGTTTTGTTGTTTCATGGAGCTTCATTCTTTTCCTGTCCTCCAGCTCTGTGGTGCTTAAAGCCTTTCTTCCTTCTCTTCCATATGATAGTGTGACAGTTTTAAGGGTAGTGATTTCATGGTGACCGACCATTCCCCCCATAATATCCGGCCCTGGGTCTCTTTCTCTGTTTCTATCTGCTACCAGATGATGCCTCTCTGAATATGGTTGAATACATTCCTTTTCTATCATACTAGGTTTGGGCTATTGTGTAGAAATTTTGTTTTCTAGTTCATTCAGTTTGCAAATTATATGATATCATTCTTGTTTTTAAAACTCTGAGCCATGTATTATTTTCTGGTCTCCAATTAATTGACCTCTAGATATTTTCTTGTTTCTGGCTATCATTTAAAATGCCACAAAGGAATAGTATGGTGGATCTTCCTTTGTGTTCATGTCCAAGAGTTGTGTAATTGTATCTTGAGACACAAATTCCTCTCTTCTGTGTAACTGGCAAAATGATTTCCATAGTGTCTGTATAAGTTTGATTTCCCACCATTAGTGTAGGTGTTTCCCCCTTACTCCACATCCTTCCCAAAATGAAGGGTCATGTGTGTGATTTATCTTAGGCACTCAGACCTATGTCAGATGGAACTGAAAGTAGTTTTCATTTTTCTGTTGGCCAAAAATATTGAGTAGTCCTCCATTCCTTTCTTAGCCGTTTGGGCTCCCACCCCTAAGAGTTGTCTGTTGAGATCTGTAACTCATTTTTACTTTTGAATTCTACTTTCTTGAGTTCTTTATATTTTTAGTTCTGTATCATATATGGAGTCAATAAAGATGTTCTCTCATTTTGTTTGCTGTCCCTGGCAAGATTGACCATGTCATTTGATTGACAGAAAACCTTTTCAGGTTGTTGAGGTACCTTTAATTATTACTCTTGGTTCCTGTGGAGACAGTTGTCTTCTGTGTAAGTAGATTTTATACTATTCCCAACATGGTTTTCTATCAACTTCAGTGTATCTGAGGATTATATATGGTTCTTCTATTTGGATCTCATTGACAAATGTGTCTGTGCTCATGCCAATACCATGTAGTTTTTACCATTGCACCTTTGTAGTACCAGTTATAATCTGCTAACATGAGACCTCAAGCAGAGGCTTTAATGTTATCATCATTAATATATCATGTGTCTTTTTTATATAAAATTGAGAATTTTGCTTTCAAGGCCTCCTAACATATTGATTTTGCATTATAATGGGAATCTCCTGAATTGTTAGTTTTTTTAATTTTTTTTCCTTAATTAGGTTAATCTTACAGAACATGGATCATGTGCTTTCCTTCATCTTATATCCTCTTCAGAGACCTGAAGTACTTGTCATTCCTAACTCTCAGTTGCTTGTTTAGAGTTACCCCAAGATATTTGATGACATTAGTGGCTATTGTAAATGAGATATCTCAAATTTATATCTGAGTATTTAAGTTTCGATGTTTTTGGCTCTTAATGTTTGACAAAGTTACTTTGCTGAATTTTTATAGGCTGTATGATTACCTGGTTGTATTTTTAGGGTCACTTATTCATACTAAAATATCATCAGCAAATAATGGCAGTTTGTCTACTTCCATTTCATTTTGTATCCTTTTTATCTGCTTCAGTTGTCTTATTACTGTTGATAAACTTTTAATTATTATGTGCATTAGATAAGGACACAGAAGACAACCTTGTGTGTTCCCTATTTGAGTACAATCTCTTAGAATATTTCCCCATCTCTTTTAACATTGGTTTTAGTTTTGTTGTAAATTGACTTTGTATTGTTGAAGCATGCCTTTTTATTCTGAATATCCCGAAGACTTTTATCATGTAGGGTTGTTGGAGTTTAAATAAGGCATTTCTGTGTAAGGAGGTGTATTTGTTTTATTTTTTTCATTTCATTTGTATGATAGAATTAGTTCCTGGGTATTATGTATTGGTGCAACACTGACTCTCTAGTATGATCCCAAGTTTATGATTTCTAATAATCTGTGAGATGTGTCCTTGGATCAGGTTTGAAAACATTGTATTGAGTATTTTAAAAATCTTTGTTGCAAAATGAAAATACTTGTAATTCCCTGTCTTTCTTGAGTCTTTCTGTTGCTTGTGTATCAGGGTAAATGTGGCTGATGGAGTATGTTGGCCAATGCCCATTATTTCCATTTTGTGCAAGAATTTGAGCATTCTACTTGTAACTCTTTTTTGAAAAATCTAGCAGCTATATGTGCTAAAAAAATCTGGTCCTGGTATTTTCTTTGTCCTTGGTATTTTAGTGACACTAGGGCTTCTAGGTATATTTAAATCCTTTATCTGTGTGACTGCAATTTGAGAAATGGTACTTATTGAGAAAATGATTCCTTAATTTCATGTTTTCCATTAGTTGAATGACAGGGTTTTAACAAATGTCTTCATGAAATATTGGTATTCCAAGGTATCAGTTGTTATGTTCTGCTGTTCATTCCATGTATTTTCTACAGTTTATTCTCTTGGTGTCATTCTTTTTTGTCTATCAACTACATCTCTCAGCTCTGAGGAAAAACATTATGAATGGTGTGACATGATAGAAAAAGTGTCTTATCAGTTTGTAGAATCCTTTTATAGGACAAAGGAACATAGAAATATAAGCTAACTGTATACAATAAACATATGGCAAATCACCCCTATTTCTGTAAATATGCTTTGTTAAGTTCTGAATGATATTTTTGTTCTTGAGAATGTGTGCCTATGTCTATCACATTTTAGCTTTGTAAGGACAGGATGTGCCAGGCTCGATATTTAGACAAACTAGCAAAATAGTGAGTGATGTTTCTGTTTTTAAAGTTGTTTTGACTCAAAGGTTTGTTTTTGATGTATAAATAAATAAAGCTCGAGCTATTCAGGGCTGCCACTGTGTGAAACTCATCTGTTGGTGAGACTTTTCTTTGTGCCCATGCTCTCAGGACCTGAACCCCGATGAGGCAGGACCTGAACAGAAAATGCCTCACCAAAATGAAGTGGGGAGCTATGCTGAGGACTCACCTTAGCAGAAAGCCTCAGTATAATGCAGCCATATTCACCCCTTCATCCTTGACCACTTTCTATTGAAGGTCACAGGGGGTCAGGAGGTAGAGAACTAGGCTGGTCAAGCTGGAAATCATGATAGGAAAGAATGAGCAGATAGAATTCAGAATCAGAACAGAGAGAGATTAACACAAACAAGGATTCTGAGTTAGACACATTAACCAGGGGCTCGCCTGGAAAACAAGCAGGTGACTTGTGTGGCTTTGGAGCACACAGAATAGTTTACAGGTTATTACAGCAGCCCAAGATTTTATAGACAGCCAGAAGTTGTACCTCAGCCTCGTGGGCACTGGATTTAGGGGAAGGGAGGGGCTCAATCTTAGAAAGTAAATTGTGATGGTATAGGGTGGGCCATGGCTTGAGGGACAAGATTGACCCCGCCTTTAGGCAGTAGGTGCCTAGGGCACTCTACAGCTCTGCAGCATGTGCCTGGAGCGTGTTAGGGATGAAGAGCCTGCCCAAGTCTACCCAGTGAGTCCTCAGCATTCTTTAACTCTGCTTTGTCCATCTTTTTCCTAGGCTTGCACCCCAAGCAGTCAACTGCAGCCATCCAAGGTTCCCACTTGAGAACAGACTAAGATTTAGAAAACTTGAGAAAAAAGATACTAGATCCTAGGATGCTAGGAAGACCTCTGAGGAGAAAAAAAGTACCACAGTGCTTGAGTTTGGCCTGATCTATCAACTTTGTTGACTAATGCACTGGCCCACATTAGAGGGAGAGGGGTGGAGAATTAGAGATATGAGGAGTATGGGGCACAGTCGAGCTCTAAATACTGAGATGTACCTTCAAGGTTTAAGGTTATAGCTGGATTAGAGTTGGGAAGAAAAGTATTGAAAAGACACTTTGTGAGTGGAAAAGGTGGGAGATTCATGAAGGACACAACTGCTCCCTGTGTCCCCATGACTTCAATTGCTCCAGTTTCCTGGAATTGGGAGCCAGATTAACAAGTAGACCCACTCTTCCATGGACATGAGGTTGCATCGCAGAATTTATATGCCAATGGAATTGTGACACTTTTTAGGTTTTGTACATCTTTTCATTCCTGGAATGAACCCAGCACTCAGCCTGCTCCCCCCATAATGTGGCTCACAGCTGGCTCTCCATCTTCTTTCAATTATGCTCAATTGCTCTTTTGTCTACAATGATACCTATAACACAAATGTTAAAGAGATGGGGCTTCTTTTCTGCTTTATCATGATTTTGTTTGTATTTTTACATATTATATAGGAAGTACCACGAAGGCAATACCCTTCAGATGTTTCTGCCAGCCAGGTAAATTCTGTTTCAACTGTTTTTAACTTATGCCTGCATATATGGTTGTCATTAATTAGACACATCTTCAATGTATTCCTCAGACAGTTGGAGTCCTGTGACTAGTATAATAAGTCTTGATTAGATTGCACTTATTTGTATGTATGTATACAAATTGTAAAATAGAGTAATAAAACAGATTTTACACTTCAGACTTTGAAACATTGTGTCACCAAATCCACCCAGAGACTACCTCCCTTTTTTTGTTCCCTGAATCTCTCAAATACATAAGCATGATTTCAAAGATTTTTTCTAGCTACTGTCTTTTAATATATTGCCTTGTGTGTGCCTCTCTAACTGCACTGGTGATATTTGCTTGGCTTTGGATTTTATCAATATGAGAATCACAAAGCTCCATTTGTTCCTTAATGAATGCTGTGTATAATGTACAGTGCTACCATGAGCTTTTGAGCACAGGTCTCCTCCCCACACACAAGAGGATATTCTGATTACTTATACAGTTTGTATCATGAGAAAACAAACTTTTCATTTATTTGAAGTCCTGTCTCATTGTGTCCAGAGCATCACACTGTCTCTTCCATCAGTAGTTGACTGTACACTGCATGTCATCTCTTCAAAGCATTCAGTTTTCATTCCTTGGGCCTATGGTACTCACAGATGCCACACAATGGTGACATAAAAGGCAGGATTTGGGAGCCAGATTAAAAAGTAGATCCACTCTTCCATGAATATAGGGTGTATGAAATAAAACATGTACCACTAAGATGTCCATTTGAACATTTTGAGTGAAATTATATTTAAAATAAAATTGAAAATACATGACCATGAATCTGGGTTTATAGAAACAATCATGGTTTAATTGATTAATTAATGGGAATCAAGAGTAAACAAGGCCCTCTGACAGCCCTCCTGATGCTACAGTATGGGTTTCTCCACCTCTGTATAACAATTTGGAAAGAAATAGTTTTGGGTTTTGTTTTGTGATTCTTCCCTACTTCTATTAGCTAAGTAGACTCTGGTTGCTCTGATCATTTTAGTTGACACAAATCAAAAATGAAGCACATTAGCCTTATATGATCTGAAAGGTTATATTTTGTTGGTTTTTTGTTTTCAATTTTCCTTAAGTCTTTGGATAAACGTATCTACAACATGCAGAACCTAAGGAAAGAAAAGAGGAAATTGGGAAAAAGGTTTGCAAGGCCTGCGCCTATTCCAGATCCAGGAATCCTGGTAAGTGTGGAGCTCTCACAGAAATGGACAGTCCTCACATGCTACTAGCATCTGCCTTTTTAATATATCTAATCACTTCAATTTTCTCTCAAAGAATTTGTAATGCCACTCCATGGAGACCCTTGAAATTCCTCTCATCAAATTCCCATTGTTTCTGTCTACTCAGCAACTGTCTCCTGATGAGAACATGGTGTTTGCTCTCTGAAGCCATATTGTCTGTTTATTGTTTTGTCTGAGATTAGTTGTTTAAATTTTACGAAAATCTCCTAAACAGTAGTTTAAATAGTTTATTTAGCCTATAATTAACATTTGAAATGTTAAACAATTCTCTACACCAATTGTACATACATACATACATACATACATACATACATACATATATACTTTTATGTGTGTATGTCTGTTGTGAGTAGATGCCATGTGTGTTCAGGTCCCCACAGTGGTCAGGAGAGGCTGTCATATCCCCTGGAGTTACAGGTGGTTATGAGCCACCTCACAGGGGTACTGGGAATCCAAAAGCCAGATCTGTTAACTCTGAGCTATCTTGATATATGTTTATCGGGATTTAAATGCTTTCAGAATGAAGGCTATCATACATGGGTCTCTTACAATGGCATTAAACTTCACTTTGTAGCTAGTTCAGCAGAGGTCTGATAGCTTTTCCACTTGACAGTCCCTTAGGTTTCTGAGGACAGCTGTCACTCTCCTACAATGTCAGAATTAATTTTTGTCAGGTTGAAAATCCAGTTTTTTTTTTTTTAAATCTACTTTGTTTTCTGTTGACTGTTGAGCCTTGCCTATCTTCAAGCAATGGTTATATTCCACACGTACAATATAATATTCTCTGCATTCCATATAGCTGGTTCATTCTTCCCTCAAAACTTGGGCAATCACTGATCTTTCACCATTTCTCCACTCTGTCCTTAGTAATATGCATTCACTGTTCCACCACATGCTTTATGCCTTGATAGTCCAATTTTAAATGTAAAAATTACACTGATTTCTTTACTGTGGAGTATATACATTTGGATGAGCATGTATGTACCGAGGTATATATGTGGAATATAGAAGACATAATCTTGCAGAAGTTGATCCTCTTTCCTTTATGTTTGTTACAGGGATCGAACTCAATATGTCAGACTTAGCAGCAAGTGTCTTTATCTGTTAAGATATCTCATTGGTCCAACCTAGTTTTTTTTATCAATGAAAACTATGTAATTTCCTGGATATCTCTAGTGACTGATTCACACACTGAAGGATGTCCTTGTTGCTATTAAGGACTGCTGTGTGCACAACTACTTGAGGCCTCACTCTTGAGTGAGATAATTGATAGTTTAAATAAAGTTTTTTTACATAAATCTCAATTACCTTTCCTTAATTATGCGTTCTACTCCTGCCTAGTGGACAAGTGATTGAGCCTGGAGTCTTCTAGAAGAAACCATTCTCAAGACAAAGATGTGAACTTTTGACATTGAATAACAAACAGGTCATGGCTTAACATCATCAAAAAATAATGTTCCACCATTCTGCAAAATAAACACAGAGCTTTCACTCAACATCCAGGCTGTGGGCTTCTAAATTTTAATAAGCTTATAACTCATCACTGTTTTTTTGTGGTAAACTGGTATCTTAAATACTATGTAAAGATTTTGAAAATATATTTATATTTAAATTGTTACAATTAGGTGTGTGGCTTATTTAGATATTGGAGGCTATGATTAAATCATAGGAGAATAATAGGATAATATCCCTTCTAGATTTATGATGATTTGGGTTGATATTTCAAATAAATTGTAATATAAACAAAATTTCCACTTAAAATCAAAGTTCATAGAACTTTTTCTATGCAGAACTGAAATGCAGTTCTATGTTCATATATGAAAAAGATAACATATCTGGTATAGTAAAATAATGCTTTGTTATATAAGTAGTTTCTAACTTGAAAATGGAATAATGATTTTCTAAAATATTGACAATTGTTCAATGTGAGCAATGCAACTAGTCAGTTATTTGCAGATTCAAAAGTAATATATAAAGTGGGATTCAAGGAATGTTGTTCTTAAATATATAGAGAAATATGAGAAACTGTGATAAACAGCCAGAAGATAGGATGAAATATTTAAAAGTTACTTTCCAGAAATTGAACAACAATAAAAATTATAACATGTTTTTTCAAGGTATGAGAAGTAAACTTGATCCATCATGCTGTATCACAGGCTGCCTTGAAGAAAGTTCAGTACTGTGCTACAAGCCAGGAAGGGGTGCCTGAGCGGAGTTCATGACTTCCTGAGTTGCGGATGCACTGAGGAAAAGAATAAGAATTCAGGAAGCCCAGTTTAGCTGCTGCTGTAGGAAAGAGCTCCAAAGAGTGACAAGTAGGCAGATAACTACAGTCTTCTAGTGCTCCCACTAATTACCATGAGACTGCTTAACTGCATGTGCACAGTGTGGATGACATTTTGTTTATGATCTAACAAATAAAGCTTACCTGAAATCAGAGTACAGAACTAGCCAAACTAGTCAGCCATCAAGGCCAGGCAGTGGTGACACACACCTTTAATCCTAGCAGCCACACTAGTTAGCCATAGAGGCCATCGGTGGTGGTGCATGCCTTTAATACCAGCACTAGAGAGGAATGTAAGACAGGATGTTGAATATTAATTATACTGCTGTATTTCTCACCACCCTTGACATGTTCTCTCTTGAGGGACTTAGGATAAATACATGCATTTTGCACACCAGAGCCAATCATGAATAACAATTGCTTTTGGGGCCAAACTATGACTGAGATGGGTTCTTATATGCAGACTTACTCACATATAACTGCCCAGCAGAGCAAAAGGTAACACTAAAAAGGAAGACTACCAGTTCCAGATATTCAGCACTTACCACATTCATTAGCTGCTAAGGAAATACTACCTTGGTCAAGACACACACAGTGTTGTGTAAAACATGAGGAAATGGATTTTCACAAACACAAACATGAAAAGAAATAGATTAGAAAAAATAAATTTAAGGGCTTTGTAAATGCATTGCCATGCTTAAGAGGAGAGAGATAAAGGATTACCAGCCTACAATCCACACTGCCAGAAAAGCTAGGAAACAAGGAGGACTGTAAGAGAGACATACATAATCCCCTGGAGAAGGGGAAAGGGACAAGATCTCCTGAGCAAAATGGGGAGGGGAGAGGGAGCTAGGAGAATGGTAAGAGGAGAAGAGGAGGGGTGAGGAGAACATGAGGGAGCAGGAAGGTTGAGTTGGGGGAAGGATAGAAGAGAGCAAGATAAGAGATAACATAATACAGGGAGCCATTATAGGTTTAAAGAGAAATCAGGAACTAGGGAAATGTCCAGAGATCTACAAGGATGACACCAACTAACAATCTAAGCAACAGAGGAGAGGCTACCTTAAATGCCCTCCCCTGATAATGAGATTGATGACTAGCTTATATGCCATTCTATAGCCTTCATCCAGCAGCTGGTGGAAGTAGAAGCAGACACCCACAACTAAACACTGAACTGAACTGGAATCCAGTTGCAGAGAAGGAGGAGTGGTGAGCAAAGGGGTCAAGACCAGGCTCTTATCCCTAGCATAGGAATGGACGTTGGGAACCCATTTCACATAGAGGAATATTCCCTGCCCCTCCCTGGGTAGCAGAAAGGGGGGGGGGGGGGCAAGGGAGGCGGGGAGGGATGATAGTGGGATTGGCATGTAAAACAATCTTGTTCCAGATTTAAATAAAAAATAGAGGAAAAAAGAATACAGTGATAAATATGGAACATGAAAATAAGGGGAATAAGATATTTCTAAAAGAATTAAGCAGAACTATTAGAGCAAAACATTAACTGAAATTTAAAATTTTTAATAAAATATTAGTGCAGAGGCAAAACCATGGGCTGACAAAATCAAGGATACAACAAATAAAGTTTCAGAAATTATTCAAACTGAAGCAAAGATAGACTGAGAACATGGCTACTGCCTTGAGACCAGATTAAGTGGACAGAGATGAGCAGGTATGGGACTATTTACAAACTTTCCCAATTTTAATGAAAACATATACATATATATGAAGTTTAAATACAAGCATGCTCAGATGACTTCAAATTAAAATGTTTAAAAACAATACAAAGAGGAAAGAAAGCAAAAGAAGGAGGGGCCTCACAAAATGCTGAGAAATGAAAGATAACATTACCATAATCATGAGGCCTCTTGGAAACCACAGGAACCCAAAAATCACAGGAAGCTGCCCACCTAAGTTCCCCATGAAGCAAAAGTACGGAGAAGGAACTTCATTTATATATATGAGACTTACACTCTTCAGGAGCACACTGAGTGGAGAAAGGCAGTCCAGTTACAGAAAGGCTCTTAAAATTTCTATGGTATTTAAAGGAATACTTCAATACATTTTTTTATTATCACTGAGATGGCCTCAATGAATGTATGTATGTATGTATGTATGTATGTATGTATGTATGATGTATGTAGTGCAGCTTGGCCTTGCATTTGTAACCATCTGCTTCAAGCTTTGAACACTTCAGTACCATAAATATAAATAATAGCACACAATCACTAAAAACGCTAATAGTCAAAGACCTGTGGAGTTAGAGAGATGGCTCAAGGGTTAGTGAGTAAAGTGCTTACTGGGTAACCATGAGGGCCTGAGATCAGATGCCTAGAATCCGTATCAAACACGGGAGTGTTGGTGTGCACCTGCGACCCCAGAGCTAGGGAGATGGAGATAAGCAGATCCCAGTAACTTACTGGCCAGCCAGTCTAGCTGAAAAGGTGGTCTCTAGGTTCAGTGTGAGACCTGTCAGAGCAGGGTCAAAAGAATGATACAGGATAAACAATGCCTTAGGGAAGTGTGAGAGGCTCCAGTTCTTTTCCCTCATGTGCATTTTGTTCCCTGCGTTGTTCTTGGATGTGGTTTTTGCCTCCTATGTTAAACATTTACATTCAATTTATAAGACATGTTTATTCTTGTTGGATGTTAGATCAGAGCTATAGAACTCCATCTGGTGAAAGGATATGCTGAGTGTTATCCTTAGTAGACCCTGAATCTGGATATGGCCTTCTCTTGCTTTGTGCTTTCCCAGATATACTCTATAATGCATGCCAGGCAATTGTGTTTAAATTGGTCTGTTCTGAGAAAGTTCTGGGAAAATGATGCTCTGTTAATATTTAGTATGTGCTTACTGGAGTTTATTAAAATCTTTTTCTGATCATGTTTTTCTGACCTCAAACAACCTTCCTTGGATCATTGCTTACTTTGTTACATTCATATGCAAATGTACATTAAAACTGAATTTAAGTTGTCTACAGCATGAGACTGTAATTTGTCCTATTATTTAATTAAGGGCTTCAAATCCAAGGTCTTGCAGACAGATCTGCACAGGTCAACAAAAGTTGACAAGACCCTACCTCAAAATCAATCAATAGATAAATATGGTAGAGAATCAATTGAGAAAGACCACCCAACATTTAACAAACATCCATATAGGTGAGCGCGCACGCGCGCGCACACACACACACACACACACACACACACACACACACACACACACTGCACTAACAATGAAGGCAAAATACATCACTAAAATTCCATTCAAATGAAGAGAGAATAGAAAAAGCAGCATCAATATTTAAATAGAGCATGTGACAAGACAATGCTTCCTTAAAAATTAATAACTATACAAGCCATCTAAAATACACCAACTAAAAGATCCTACCAAGAACTATGAAGAAGTTCAAATTTTTCTCAACTGGTAAAATATACAAGTGTAATGGTTTATAATTGCTGGCAGAGAACAGGCATGCTACAAAGTAGAGACCAATTGTTGCAGGAAGTTTTATGGTGACTAAGCGCTGGGAGTCTATGCAAGCTATACTTGGCCACTGTGGGGATTTCAATGGAAAAGGTCCCCATGGACTTATAGGGAGTGACATTATTGGATGTATGGCCTTGCTGTGGCCTTATTGGAGGAAGAGTGTCACTGTGGGATGGACTTTGAGGCTTCAGAAGCTCAAGTCAGGGCCAATGGCTCTCTGTCTCTTCCAGCTGCCTTCCTATCTGAATGGAGGTTTCTTAGTTACCTCTCTGGTACCATGTCTGTCTACATGCCACCATGCTTCCACATTAATAGACTAAACCTCTGAATGTAAAGCTAGCACCAATGAAATGCTTTCCTTTATACGAGTTGCTGCAGTCATGGTGTCTTTTCACAGCAATAGAAACCCTAAGACAGACACCTATCCTGATACACCAACTAAAGAGTCAAATGCATTGAAAACAGAGAAAGGAGAGTTAGGAAAGTGGCTGAGCTAGGAAGAAGAATAAATAAAGGGTCCAATGAACATGCGCTCATGAGCATTTGTGCACGAGCATACACACACACACACACACACACACACACACACACACACACCTGGGGTACTAACCTCAATTTAAATAGAGGGCGAGGGGTATATATAATAGAGTTAAGGTCCATCACTGACCCACTGAATCAATTCTGGTCCAACAAGGTGAATCATTATGTTGTTAAACTGTTGATATCTCAGTCAGTGAGGGTGCAGGCTCCCTATCCTGGATTGCTGGCTTCATCTGGGGTTGCAATGGTCTGTTTTGAAGTTCACAGTAATTCAAGAGGAATGATGAAGAAAGTAACTTCTCTCTGTGTCTCCAGCCA